GATTTTCTCAATATTTAGATTTTTTTGCACCCTCAGATTCCAGATTTTCAAATAGTTGTATCTCAGCCAAATATTGTCCTATCCTAACAAACCATACATCAATGGAAAGCTTATTTATTCAGCTTTCAGATGATCTATAAATCTCAATTTCGAAAAATTGACCCTTATGACTGGTTTTGTGCTCCAGGGTCACATATTAGACACAATATTGTCTGATTTTGCAAAATTGTGTGAACGAAAATATTACGTATAAAGCCACAGAAGGACTTGAAGCAGCACTGCTCTGTGTACAGCATCAAAGCCATTAGACAGCATTTTTGACTTTTTTGTTTTGACATAAATCTGTTGCTGTTTTTCTTTTTTGATAAGCAGTGTTGCTGTTGTAAAGTTACACAGCTACAGTTGTGTTGCTAGGTTTTAAAGCAGATTGGGTTTTTTTTCTTATCAGTCTGTATTTACAGCAGTTTCACCGTCCACTCGGTTCACACGTGGAGGAATGGCTACAAAAAAAACCCCACTTGTTTCGTTCCTATAGGGTTTTAACATCCTAAAAGCTCTTTATTCCACAGACACCACAAGCTAGTCAGTGTATTCAGGTGGTGTAATGTACTGTAAGATGCTTCAGAGGTATTGCAAGTATTACACACAACAATAATAAAACACTGCATTGCCATAAAAAAGAAATTTGCTCTGTCAGCCGTATGAACGACTGGAACGACGACTGAGCCTTTCACACTTTTTCTACAAGCAGATATAGACTCAGTAATGAGATGTCAGTGTTTATTTAATCTTTAGATTATTGCAAATGATCTAAGATCAGCGGCCCTCCAAAAATGTCAATACAGTTCATATTCTCCTGTGAACGTGTGTCATCGCTGGATGAGCACGATTGAGTTATTCAGCTCTATCGAGCCATGTCGTAATCAAAGCAGATATTAAGCGCTTGGGTTAGCGTGTGTCGTGCAGGAATGATGCTCAGAGGTGCACATGTCCACACTGCTAATTATAGTGTGAAGCTCTTCATGGCTTCCTGTCGCCTCCTGCTGTTTCCTGTTTGTCAGATCCACAGCTGAGAACAGCTACAACACAGCAATTCACTTTATATGTCACAAACAGACATTGATATGAAAATCAGTGCTCAAGTTCAAAAGTTTGTTTTTCCTATTTCAGCATGCACTGAAATAACTTATATATATATATATCAGATCTCTGAATCCACGTGCATGTTCAAAAGTTCATTATTTTGCTATCACAGTTGTTAGTTTATGTGTATGAGATCATCAGTGATTTTACGCGCCTTTAACTGGAGCGTGAGTCACGTGACCGGATGTGCGTTCACTCGTCTCTGATTGGGCCAAATGTGCTGCACGCTAAACAACACCTGAGCTCCTTTGGTTTCAGCTCCTTCCACAATCATTATTTAGAGAATAACTCAGCGTCCCAACAGATTTAGTTAAATGTTCAATATCGAATCAATCATGCATGCCATGTATTCCGTTATATAACGTCTCTTAACTATTTAAATTGAAAAACTTGTTGATTACCTGTAAAGGGAAAGATTTAACGGCGTTTACACCGCGAACGTTCAAAGTAAACCGGAAGTAGCGCATGCGCGTTCCGTGCGTCACAACTACTTCAGACATCCAGAAAACATCACTGATTATATGATGTTCTGTTTGCTCTGATGCTCGCGTTAGGTTTGCACATGATGTTTGACTTAATTACACTAAACAAAACACTAAAACCATATCGGAGCGCTTACACTGGAAACGACCATAATTGTATTAAAATTTTATTAAATTAAATAAAAAAATTTAATTAAAAACGACCATAATGATTCTAGAATGAAATATGACAAACATCCCAGCGAACAAAAATATGTTCTAAGAACCTTTTGCACCATTAACTTATGAAAATGTTACTTTTTTGAATGTTCTGGAAACCATCTTAGACAAATGCCCAACTAAAATGTTTCAAAAGAATGTTCCATAAACGAAATATACAGAATGTTTTTGTAATGCTTTGAGAATGCTATTAAAGACCAGGGCTGCGTTTCTCAAAAGCGTCGTAAGCCACCAACGGTCTCCACGATCAGCTTAGCTCACGATGCTTTCGGGAAACACAGCCCGGATCACTTTGAACAAACCATCGATTAACGTTAAACGTTTGTTCGTAACTAGCCAGAATGTTTTGAGAACGTTTCCTGTCAGCTGGGATCATGTCTGAAATGATTTCGATGAATCTCATGGTGATCGGAGCCTGGTTTAGTTAGGTGTCCTGCTCAAAGGCCTAACAGTGGGAACCCTAATTCATCAAATGCTGTCGATTACAGCATAATGTGATACCTCCATCTCCACCGAGCATTTTAGCTTGAGAGCGACATCAGACCAGTTCACTTGATCCATCAATATTCACGTCATAATTAAATCTGTGAGCGAGACACGCTCATGACAGTTCACTCTTCAGAAAAAGCTTCCAGCAGGGAGTTTTGACAGCGATGCCATAAAAAAGAACCATTTTTATTTCCCCGAAGAACCTCTGAGTGAACAGCTCTTAAAATAACCATGTTTTTCTTGCTGTGAAAAACTTTTGAAAGAACCCTTTGATCAGTGGAGAGGCTCCATGGATGCTAAAGGTTCTTCATGAACCATAAATGGTAATAATCTTTGTTTTTAAGAGTGTATCGAGGATAAATGTTCTTTCGATGATTGAAATGTCCTTTAACTGCTCACTGAAAGGTTCCTTGGCTGCTTCTATGGCATCGCTGCAAAACCCCTTTAAAAGCTTGGTTTTTAAGAGTGTGGAGCTGTAGGTATAGTACAGTGGATCGTTTCCGCTCAATAACGGCTCTTAATAATGTGAAGAGAGATTTCAGCGGTCATCTAACGAGGGCTTCAGTGCTGGTTCACAGTGTTACCCAGAGACCAAACAGAACAAAACTGGAACCAGATCCTGTTCTGTGGAACTGAAATCATTTATGATTGACATAATTTACAGTAGCGTCTCATCAGAGCTCTCAGAAATATTAATGAATATGGATGTACATTAAATATTATGTTGTTATGGGTTTCGGCGGAAATCCGACCTCTTTGCAAAGCATATTTAATATTTTTACTTTTATATTCATGCATATGCCAGATATTATTATGCAAAGTGACACAGAATCATGAATGAATGATTCTGGGAGCAAATTATTGTGAAGGTTCATTACACTCTATTTGTTTATATACATCTTAGCATTTATAATCCTTCATAAATGACGTGTTCTTATCTGATTCAGCTGCAGAATGCACATGTCAGGATCTGAATCTAATGCTGCACAGCTGATCAATAAACTGATCCGTCCTCAATATATTTCACACGTTTGAGCAGAATATGATGCTGAGATTTTGATGCAGCAGTCAAAGCGTTCATACGGACTGACAGACAGCAGAGCCGCTCTGAACGACTGGAGATCATCTTACCTTCATCTCGAGAAGAGCAGTAACGGTTTGCCGAGCTCCCGCGGTGTGTGTGTGTGTGTGTGTGATTGACAGTTATTTTGTGGTGACGCCTCCTCAGAGAGTTCTCAACTTCCTGTGTGAGATTAACATCAGCCTCCTCTGATCATCATCACACTCACACACACTCTCGATATGAGAAGCCACACAGGAAGTGATCACTTCCTACTAATCTATTTCTTGAAACACACACACACACACACACACACACAGGTTTGTTTTTGTGAAAAGTGGGGACTCTCCATAGGCGTAATGGTTTTTATACTGTACAGACCGTATATTCTATTGCCCTACACCAACCCTACCCCTAAACCTACCCCTCACAGGAAACTTTGTGCTATTTCAGATTTTCAATACACTCCATTCTGTGTGATTTATAAGCGTTTTGAAAAGTGGGGACATGGGGTAATGTCCTGAAAAGTCACCTTCTCCTTGTAATACCTATGTTATACCCTTGTCATTATACAAATTTATGTCCTCATTTGTCACAAAAACGCGTACACACACACACATACACACACAAACAACAAACACACACACACACACACACACACAAACACACACACACACAAA